GGGGGGAGGGAGGGAGGGGGTCTTCAGTTTAATTCCAGACATCATGGGAGAAGTCAAGTATATTTGATCTCTTGAGGGTTTTACTCCAGGTTCTCTGGTTTTCCTTCCCTCAACAAAAACCTAACAGGATAAATTCCATTTTTGAGCTGTGCCCTAGAGATCAGCCTAGAGGTTGTTTCAGGATTTGATCTATGAGTTACCTGTGCACACCACAACTTGGACTACCCCAAATGTTCCTTTAGGGTTTTAAAAAATTTAAATTTAACATTGAATTTGAAGATTTAGTTCAAATAATACGTACGGTTACTGTTACTTTTGATCCTACTTTGTCCTTGTCTTCAACAGTGAATGGTAAAGATACATTGTACTTGCGAAAGGACCTGTCACTCCAGTGATGTTTGGTAATATTTCCATCTATAAATACAATGGTACAATAAAAACTATAAAACCTATCATATGTTTACACCTAACTGCAGGAACTTGTCATATAAAAATATAAAATAACAAAACAACAAATAGAAGTTATTTTTTTGATCAAAACAAGAGTAAATATTTCAGGTTTAAAGGTAAAGACTGACATTTTTTATATTAACCTTATCAGTATGTACTAAAACAGCTACTTTCATCAATTTAGGGGGCTTTAGAATCAAAATATTAAAAATTATTTATAACATTTCCTATTTTTTTATTTTTATATGACAATATTCTCATAATTACTTGTACATACAAGGGAGCACGGCAGAATGATTTCTCTCTTTTTTTAGCATGTTTTTAATCGATATCGCTTTCGTACATTTCAGCCGCCATCTTGGAAATTAAACGATAACCACTGGTAAATAAACATGCGGGCACTCCTATCTCCCCAATTGAGCAACACTTACAACGCTTCGTGTGCTGCTCGTCCCACGTCCCTTCGGGACTCTATCGGGGAGATACTTGAGTGCCCGCATGCATATTTACCATCGGTTATCGTTTGAAATTCCCAAGATGGCGGCCAAAATGTACGAAAGCGATATCGATTAAAAACGCGCTTAAAATAGAGAGAAATCATTCTGCTGTCCTCCCTTGGTACATACAGTTATCATATAACAAGAATATAAAGTAAACTACATCTATCCTATAAATCAGGTCATGGCATCCACCCCTACCCTTCCATCTCTATTCTTCACTTGTTGTGTTCAAAAATACTGGTTCGCAAAACAACTGGCAACAACAACATTGTCTAATTTTTACCAATTACAGTGCTGTTTAATGTCTAAAATTGCATTATCAAGTTATCAGTCTGGCACTAAAGCCTATAGATATTCATCAGACATAGATATTGCATTTAATAATGAAAAAATAATATTAAAATATATCAAATTGTTTACGATTAATGGTACCTTGAACTTTGCCTCCTGCAAAAAGCAAGTAGAGCTTGTCATGCAAGTCGTACTTCATGGATAATGAAGGCACTTTTAGTCTCTTAAAACTGGAATATAGTAAACAATATGTATGTGAAGAATATGATCTGCACTACCTCAATGCATAATAGAACAACATGTGCAGCATCTGATAATAAACATAGATTTAAATAAAGGCCATCCATTGACAATATCTGGCCATGATTGGAACATGTCTGGTCAAATATTTGTAACGTAAATCCAAAAATCAGGTATGACCAAGCCAAAAACTAATTTGGCCAATATTCAGGACTGGTGCAGGTTAACTGACCTATATACAGGGTTTTTGTTCAACAACTACTAGAATACACTAATAGAATATAAGTAAAAATATGCAGGTGATTATAGAAAATCTCATGCCCTGATTGGTCAAGAAACTCACACTATCACACGATAATTAATCACCTCAAGTGAAAATCCAAAATGGCGGCCAGCCGCTTTGTTGCTGTTACTGGAAAAAATGCCCTTCATCTTCTTTTTTTTCTTTTTTTGAAAGAATCAACTGTGTATTTATACTATATATTATTTGCCTCGCATCTTGGTAAATATTCTCCGATAATCACTTCGCCTTCGGCAAATAATTGTTAAATAATAATCAGCACATAATTGATACCTGCATTTAATTACTCCATCTTCATATACAGTTGCGATTGGTTTGACACCAGTAGGAACCTACAAAATATATGCATATGATTATTAATTATAATATAGCTAAAAGTATTTGATTTATGAGTTTTTTATTAGTCTTTTAAGCTCTGCATTACTTACAGGGACTGTCTTATCTGGTTTTCTGTGACCAAATAATGAATAATGGTTGATGCTTGATTTAAAGCACACCACACTATCACCACCGCTCTGAAACAAAATACATAAGGAATTTTAACCTTAGAAATATTAAAGCACAAAATCTAATAATAAAATAACAATAGTAAATTGCCCTTGTTATCCGGGGGGGGGGGGG